AGAAGTTGAGCTTGAACTAGAGGAAGCAATTAAACCCTTTAGTAGCCCCTCGTAACCCCTGAAATTAGCAGGAACCCTACTTGAAGCCTCGACCCTCAACCCTATAAGCCCTAAACCCATAGCCTCCAAAAAACCCTAAATACCCTAAACAGCCCTAAACCCTAAAATCACTAAAGCCCTAACCCATAACACCCAAAAAACCCTAAACAGCCCTAAACCCTAAGATCGCTAAAGCACTAAAACCCTAGCGCGATCGTTTCCATGTAGCTTTATAATAGGTACTTAAGCCTTAAAGGGGTCCCTATATAGGTACTTTAAGGCCTAAGTATATACTATATGGGTACATGGGAGGGTGTTGGGCCGTGGGGCTTCGAAGTCGTTGGCAGCAGGTAGGTCTTTGGGCGCACCATCCCATGAGGGTCCAAGGAATCAACAATGAGGGTTCAGGGGTTTAGGGCTTAGGCCTTGCAGTGGCCCGTCGGGTTTAGGGTTTGTAGGGTTTAGATTTCAAGGTTCGGTGGTTCAGGGTTTAGGTTTTGGGGCCCTGATTTTGTTTCGAATCAGGTTCTGGGAGTATGTTGGCAGTTTATGTGCAGGGTTACTCTATGGGCGAGCAAGCGTGTACTTAGGAACCCTGAAGGACACATTGTAAATTTTGAGGCTTCTGTACCAAGGTTTCAGGGAAGCAATTCCTTTTCGGTTGGGTTTAGGGTTTAGGGTTTAGGGTTTAGGGTTAACGTGCTACTTGGTACTTGGACCCTCTGGGACACAGGTGAGCTGCCCAGCTATTTTCGGCTTCGCATCCATTAAGGACATCGTTTGCCAGCATTCGAACTTGGTGATTGTTCTCAACTAGGGTTCTTGTTACGGTCCCTCTTTTAAACTTGCTGTCTACGCTGCTGAAATTTGTCGAACGAGGCACTACACACTGCAAGGGAACCCTGTTGTAGGAATATCATTAATAAACCTTGGGCCTTTATTGGGGCTCCTTATCTGAATCTTAGTATTTGGGAGTTATAGGCCCAGGGTTTCTTAATCAGGTTCCTACATTGAACCCCAACTTGGAACAATTGTAGTATCCTTAAGGGAGGGGGGTCCAAGGGGGGTGTATAGCCTAGTGATCCCTAATTCTCCCTAGTACTCCCTAAGGTTCCCTTACAGTCCCCTAAGGATTCCTTATACCCTCCCCCCTTGAACCACCCTCCCTTAAGGATCCTATAAAACAACCACCAAATTTTGCAACCTGGGAACTTCCAGTGCTAATGTGCGGTGGGATACGGACTGAGAAAAAGAACGGAGCCGAGGGGCCCAGCGTCATCAGAACAAACCAAGCTTTACACCCAGAAAACATAATCTTACCCTGAACCCTCAACCCTAAAGGGGTCTGTAAGGGTTACTTTAAGGGATCTATAAGGGCACTATGACTATAATAATGTAGGAACCTGATTAAGAAACCCTGGGCCCATAACCCCAAAATAGTAGGGTTCATATAAGGAACCATAATGAAGGCCCATTCTTAACCAGGTTCCTATCTTACCGCTTAGTTCAGGACCTGTGGCAAGCTCTCAGACTCTCAGGCTCTGATAACTACTTTGCATACTTATGTTTGAATTAGTAAAGTTTGTGTGTGTGTATATATATATATGGTCACCCCCCCGCAGTGTTTCGTGGTTTAAAACTCACAAAACACTGTAATGCTCAAAAAACATCCACTTTTCATTGCTTCAAAGCTCACGAAAACTGCTATGCTCCAATTATTCCAAGCTTTTAAGGAATCTGCCCCCGTCCTGGCCATAGATGCCAGAATTTTGGAATTTTTGGAATTTTTTGAGCATAGCAGTGTTTCGTGGTTTAAAACTCACAAAACACTGTAATGCTCAAAAAAAATCAACTTTCATTGTCTCAAAGCTCACGAAACACTGCTATGCTCAAAAAATTCCAAACTTTTGAGGAATCTGCCCCCGTCCTGGCCATAGATCATAGATGTCAGAATTTTGGAATTTTTGGAATGTTTTGAGCATTACAGTGTTTTGTGAGTTTCAAGGTTAGAAATTTTGGAAGTTTTTGAGCATAGCAGTGTTTCGTGCTCCCCATGCCCCAAGAACCACGAAAGCGTAGATCTTGCGGGGGGGGGGGGGTGAGCATATATATATATATATATATATGCATATACATGTACACATAACATATGTGAATATGCAAAAGCTGTGGGTCTGCGAAGCTATACACAAAGACCTACGTTGTGTAAACACAGATCTCCCTTGAGGGAAAACAGTGCAGAAGTCTCTGCTTACATATCTACATACACATGCTATGCCCCCTGGCCGACGCTCCCCAAGCATTTACAATTATACTCCATTGCCCTATGCCGTATACATATATATATATATATATATATACATACATACATATATATATATATATATCCAGAAATATTATATATACACATGCACATGCGGGTGTGTACAAACATAAACACCTGTATATATATACATATATGTACACACACACATGGGAATTTCCGCCGAATTAGGGGCCATAATTATGACAATTAAACGTATTATAACCACCTGTCCAATATTACAATATTTCAAGGTGCACGTTGATGAGTTCAGTCTGAATGGAGGCTTAGTTCGGGCTTCATCAATGAAGCACTAAGGAAAACCTCAATCCAGAACCCTCGACCATTTAATGTGCGTTGCTGCATTCAAAACGGGGTTTACGATGACCTAGCCTACATCTGCGTCATGACAAGGGCTCTAGAAGGCAACGTCCAACGGGTTAAGAGAAATTACCACTCTTAGCATTAGCAACGTTGTCCTGTTTAGATGTCCTCCGTAAAGATAGACCTAAACCCTGTAAGCCATAGTCCTAATTCAAAACTTAACCCCTAACTGCTGTGCTAAATCTCTCAGACCCTCATGTTCAGCTCTACACCGCGAACCCTCCATCTCAAAATGCTTGCGTTGAGTATCCCCTCACAGCCTCAACATCGACACTTGCATGGGAAGCAACAAAGCGCTTGTTCAAAGATCCGATTTAAAAAGCAAACCGGGAACAATGCACAAGCCAGAAACTGTCCCGATTGAGATATTTTGCCCTAAACCCTGAACCCTAAACCCCTTACACCGTAAACCCTAAACCCCTAGACCCTGAACCCTAGAATCTCGAAACCCTGAAATCCTATAGATCCCTTAATGGAGCCTTTAAAGGAACCCCCACAGCTTTTTAAATACCCTAAACCCCTAAAACCCCCCATAAGGACCCTGAACCCTAGGCCCGAAACCTAGACCACAGACTTGATCCATTTCGGACACTTGGACCGCTCGTGTATCTTCCTCGCTGAAAATCAGAACGTCCGCGAAGCGACTCGAAAATGCTGGTAAAGGGTTTATAGGGTTTACGGTTTAGGAGGATTTGGGGCTTAGGTGTTGGAGCTTAGGGTGGCTCCGCGAATCCCGAAGGCAACCACCACGGCCGCGAAAATTAAACCTAAACCCTAAACTCTAAACCCTACCTAAACCCTAAACCCTAGACCCTCAACCCTAAACCCTAAACCCTAAACCCTAGACCCTAAATCCTAAACCCGAACCCCTCGTGTAGGCCCCAGCGTTGCGTCGGACGTTCTGGTCTCCGGGGGAGCTCGTGGGATGCTGTCTATGACAGCTCCCACACTAAGTTTAGCTAGACCCAAGAGTCACCCAGGCATAAAAAGGATGCCCTTTTGGTTTAAAGGAGCTTATAAGGGAACCTGAACCTTAAAAAAAGGGAATAACGGCCTACTCTGGGTCTAGGTTCCTTCAAGGGCTCCTTTAAGGGGGCTTTGTTCAAGGGAGGGTTGAGGATTCCTTCGCAGAGGGTCCATATACACTAATGACCAGCCCTAAACCCTAAACCCTAAACTGACTAGTATGCAATTACCCAGACCTTCCAAAATCCTTTAATTAAGGAATTTATCTTAAATCATATTAAGGATCCTGCTATAACTTAAGGTATATTCCTTAATTAAGGGGTTTTGGAAGGTCTGGGTAGGCCCCAAGACCATCCCAACTCTGGTCTTGGGGACTTAGCTTCCGAAATAGTAGTATATATGGACCCTCTTGGTATGGCTTAGTCTAGACCTAAGAGTAACCTAGGAATAAAAAGGGTGCCCTTTTTGGTTTAAAGGGGTTTATAAGGGAACCTAAACCTCAAAAAGGGAATAAGGGATACTGTTATGGACAAAACCCTGCATGACCCTTAAAGGGATCTATAAGGGTACCTTTAAGGGGTTCCCTTCACGGGATCTATAGGGTTTTGGTGTTTAGGGTTTAGGGTGATGATATACATCCTGCATGACCCTAAGGACCCAACACTATGGGACTTATGGTATATTCCTTATAATGGGTAATGCAGGATTTTGTCCATCAGCCGTAGTAGTATATATGGACCCTCTTGGTATGGCTTTAATTTAGGGCTACTTTCCTTTGAGGATTATGATTTTGAGGGTTTAGGCTTAGGGTTCCTGTAAGCTTTGTAAGGGTCCTGTAGGGGTTCTCTGTCGTTCAAGCTCTAGTTGGGGGTTTCGACTAGGGTTTGGTGTGCACGCTTGTAGGTGTACGGTTCAGGGTTGAATATTTAGTGTTTGCGCTTTTGGACTTAATATTTTGAGGGTTTTTCGAGCGTTTGACTGCGGTGCCCTCGGCTGTCGAGGTGGGATTTGATTAGGATTCGGGCATGAAATACACCTGGTAACAGGTTTCTTGGACAGGGCTGGCCCTTCCCCTGCGGTCTCGGCTGCGAAGTTCTAGGCCTAGCCTAAACCCTAAGCCCCAAAGGCTAAACCCTAACCCTAAGGGTCCAAGTACCTAAGCTATCATATACTCCCCAAAACAGTCACCTACATAACTACTATCCTAAACCCAAATACCTAACTATTGGGTCCTTTGGGGCAAACCCAAACCTAAGCTCCATAGAATTGAAGCTCCAAGTCGCGAGCGAAAGGCCAATCTTGTCCAGAATTAAAATACGTGGCTGGTGTATCCCTCCTCATCAACTTCGACGCTCCTCAGGACACGGAGTCACGGGGCGGTTCTAACCAGAAGCCCTTAGCCCTAAACCCGAAACCCCTAAACCCAGGACCCCTGAACCCCACAATTGGCACGAAAGCATAAGCATCTTTGGGCTATTGGTTTGGGGTTTTGGATTTACTAGACCTAAACTAGGAATAAAAAGGGTGCCCTTTTTGGTGTAAAGGGGGTTATAAGGGAACCTAAACCTTGAAAAATGAAATTAAGGGCCTACTCTGGGTCCTGGCACCACTGGCACGAGAGCATTAGCATCGTTTGGGGGCTGTGGGTTTGGGGTTTTCGGCTTTTGTATCCGTTACTTGGGGGGTCGGGGGACTTAGTAAGTAGGTAGTAAGTAGACTTATAAGTACCCTAAAAGGGACCCTAATTGGGGTTATGGTACAGCCTAAACCCCAATGGTACAGGGCGATAGGGATATCCCATATAAATCCCCTTATAATGAAGCCCCATAAGGTAGGGATATCCCTGGAAAATGCTTATGCTTATGTAATTTTTGAGTCCCTAAATGCAAGGTCTAGGCTTGGGGCCTGAGGGCTGAAATCTGCAACCCTCGACGATTCTGCCGAGGATCTGCGTGCCATCCGGCTCGGTGATGAGGTGGCCCTGTGTAAGGGTTGAGGGCTTAGGGATTTAAGATTGCAGTCTTTCACTTTGGCGATTGAGGCTTTAGGGCTGGCATTGCTGATTTGGGCTATGCTCGCTGACAAAGTTGACACCGACTACGACTACTGCGCCTCCTTTTGCTGTTGCTGCCGCGGTGCTGTTCATTTCCTCTACTGCCACTGCTACTCCTGTTCCTACTCGCACTCACAGTCCTCCTCCTCCTCCTCCTCCTCCTCCTCCTCCTCCTCCTCCTACCACCATCACCACCACCATGACTACTTCTACTACTGCTACGACTGCTACTACTACTGCTGCTGCTGCTACTGCTACTTGTGCTGCTACTGCTACTGCTACTGCTGCTGCTGCTACAACAACAACTACTTCTTCTTCTACTACTACTTCTTCTACTGCTACTTCTACTACTACCAATAATAATAAAAAATAAAAACTAATGCGACTGTCATTGCCACGGCTACTGCGACTTGCACTGTTATTCACGGATATTTACTTCTGCCGGTATTGCCCACACTGACTCGCGCTTACTGCAGAATGGCTTTTGGACCCAACGACCGAACTGCCGACCGCCGGGCTAACGTTGGGTTTAGGGTTTAGGGTTTAGGGGTTAGGGTTTAGGGGTTAGGGTTTAGGGTTTAGGGTTTAAGGTTTAGGGTTTAGGGTTTAGGGTTTAGGGTGTCTACCCTCAGCGTCCAAGTATCAAAAGAGGCAGGGCAATGGCCTAAAGTTCCACTAGTTGGAGGCCTAAAGTTCCACCAGTTGGGTACTATAGGGGCCCTGATAGTTTTAATAGGGCTTTAAGTCTTTAAGTTATACTATACTAAAGTCATAATAAAGAACCCCAAAATAGTATGGGGTAATTACATAACTATACTGAACTTAGAACCCTAGCAAAAAGTATAGTTTTAGCTGTTTCTTAGGTATTATATAACCAAAATTAAGAATTCATTTCTAAGTACCCCTAACATAAGGCCCAAATATAACATGCATCCTACAGGTCAGGATGCGCAATCTGGTCCTGTGCACTGAAGACTATCGGCCAAGGAAGTCTAAGCCCTCGTAGATTAGGCTTTTTGGCCCAAAGACGATAACATAGAAGGCTGTTGGGCTGTTTTGAGCCCCAGGGTAACGGCGATTCACGATGAAAAAGCGCTTCATCAAATTCCGATGAGTGTTACTCGGGTTTCTATACAGTCAGACCCACAGGAGCCTCTATCTCAATGAGGCACTACCATTTAGGCACTTGCACTGAGAGCTTAGGATCCTTTGTTAACTCGGAGGACTCGACGTCTAGGGTTTAGGGTTTAGGGTAATGTAGGAACCTGATTAAGAAACCGTGGGCCTAAGGGTTCCTTTAAAGGTATCTTGAAGGGTTACGATAAGTGACTATACGGGTACCACAAGGGATCTTTAAGGGTAATGTAGGAACCTGATTATGAAACCTTGGGCCTGTATTCGGGTTCCTTCTATGAATCCTACTATGTTGGGGTTATATGCCAAGGTTTTCTTAATCAGGTTCCAACGTTTATGTAGAATCCAGCGGGTTAGAGTGTAGACAGCAAGGGGCTTGGGGATTGGGGATTCGGGTTCTCCTAGGGCTACAAAAAACTCGAACCTACACAAGCAGAGCTGAACACCCAAACGCGCAAACTCACAAAACCCTATGGTTCCAAATAGCCCAAAATAGGTTCCATTAGTAGACTTCAAACCCCAAATTAGATACCATTTGCACACTTGAAGTCTTAGGTAAAACACGCACCCAGAGGGTCCAAGTGCCCAAATAGTAGGGTTTTAGCTCCCAAAATCCATTCTCTGAGCGGTTTTTGGGCCTTGAAACCCTACTATTTGGGCATTTGGACCCTTAGGGGAAGCCACTAATAACTAGAATACGGTTTCGGGACCCATCATTATACTATGATTATAATAAGGAGCCTCCGAAGTAGTATAGGTAATTATTTAAGCCCCTAGAGTAGGGCATTGCTGCAAAGCCGCTTCGTACGTCCCCTCTGATCGAAGAGGCCCCACAGGTGACATGATCCTGGGGAGTGAGTCAGGGTTTAGGGTTTAAGGTTCAGGGTTCAGGGTGCAGGGTTAAGGCTTCGTTTGATGATGGAGGGTTTATGGGGACCGTAAACCCTAAACCCCTAACCTTAAATCAGAAGTCCGAAACTTCAAACCCTAAATCAGCAAGCCTTAACCCACAATATAATTACCCAAGTCTCTATTTCCCACATATGGGAATGCAAGATAGTCTAAGCAAGCAGACCACCGTTGGAGGAGAGTGCTCCAAGTTTAGAGCTCTTGCACCCAAGCCCATTAAAGGATCGGAAACACCGTCTGAAGAGACGGCAGGATGCTGCTTGAAGGTTTTCGCTTCCGCACCGTCCACCCTTTGCCCGGAAGTCGGAAATGACACAGGGGAAGACTCACTGTCCCAAAACCCAATCAAGCAAAAGTTGAAACTTTCAGAATCCACTACCTTATAAGAACCCCAAAATTGAAAACTTGAGTTTACAGCCAATACGAAGAAGGACGCAACTGCCATGCTGCAGTGGCTCCTGGGACGAGGTCCCCAGTTCCAGAACCCTACTTAAAGGATCATGGGACTTAGTAAGTAGAGTTACTATAATAATTGCTAGGGTATATACTTATAACCCCCATTAGGGTACTTGTTATGACTTACGAAGTCCCATGATCCTCCAAACGCCCTAAACCCTGAACCGCAAACCGTAAAGAACTCAGTGCGAGATTTCTGGGTGCTGCCAGGACACGGTGATCCCATGTCGTTGTAGTTGCGATCATTTGTGAGCGCCTTGGTCAAGAGCAGGCTTGCCCTAATGCTCGTTTTAGCACTGAACCCACACCCAGACTTGCAAGGACCAACCGCCTAAACTAAGGTTGATGATATAAATCCTGCATTACCTTATAAAGGACCCTAAACTATGGGAATTACGGTATTATAATGAGTGATGCAGGATCTATATCATCAACCGTATAACACAGCGCGTGAGGCTGAAGGGCCATATACTCGCGAGCCTTGATGAGCCACTACCCACCGGCTCCATAGTAGTTCCTCTTTGGAGTCCATATTTAGAACCCTTTAGGGTAATCCCAAAAAGGAAGTACTATGGAGCCGATGGGTAGAAGCAAGAGTCATAATCCTCAACGCGACGCTATATCCTGCAAATACCCCCGAACCATCAACAACAGAAGCCGAAAACCCTGAACACCCAAGCCTTGCAACTGGAAGCCTTGAACAGCTGAAAAATGAAACCCCCGAACCCTTGAAGCCCTAAACCTTCAAATCCCCAAACCCCTAAACCCTAAAGGCCCTAAACCTTCAAATCCCCAAACCCCTAAATCCTAAAGGCCCTAAACCTTCAAATCCCCAAACCCCTAAACCCTAAAGGCCCTAAACCCTAAAGGCTCTGAACCCTAAAGGCTCTGAACCCTAAGTGCCACTAGACCCTTGACAGTTGGAAGTCTTAACCTCTTTAACCCCAACACCCTATTCCCGTGAGGCTGAAAATCCTGAACCCCTGAAGCCAAAAAGTCGGCTTGGGGTTTAGGTTATAGAGTTTAGGGTTTGGAGTTTAGGGTTTAGGGAATAAGTTCAAAACCCCAAACACCTGAAGCCCCAAAACCTATATAAGTTCGATAGCCCCAAACCCCTGACGCTGGAAACTCACAATCGCGAATCCCTGAACCCCAAGCTCCGCAATCTAAACCGTCGCCACTTGGAAAGCTCTTAAACTGTGGGGTCAACTACTGTAGGGGCCTAAATAATTACCTATAATTACTATTTTGCGTGTTCCTTACCATGATTATAGTATAATGGGCTCCACACCCTACTCTAATTATTAAGTGCCCGCCTATATTAAGTCATTGGCACTTGAAAGCGTAAACCCTTGAAACCTAAAACCCTTAATATAGCGATTATATACCCATTATACAGCCCATTATAGGGTGGGGGTCCCCATTAAGGGTTCCTCCTCTTCCCCTTTGATGAAAGCCTAAACCCTTGAAACCTAAAACCCGAAACCCCCCAGGCGCCATCTGCGAGTCATCTGATCGCAACGGCGACATGACCCTCGGAAGGCTGTTGGTTTACAGGAGCTCGTAAAGGATCATGGGACTTAGTAACTTAAAGGGTTCCTTAAAGGGATCTATAAAGGGATCTATGGGAGTTTAGGGTTTTAAAGGAGGTTTAGGGTTTAAAGGATCATGGGACTTAGTAAGTAGCGTTATTATTATGGTAACTATACTTATAACCCCCAATTAGGGCGCTTATAACCTTACTTACTAAGTCCCATGATCCTCCAAGTTCTGCAAGGGACCCATGCAGGGTTGAGGGTTTCAGGTTTAGGGTGTTAAGGTTCAAAAGCGTTTTGTAAGGGCTCTTTAGTCTCAGGCTAAGGGCATGACTCATGACCGGTTGCGGGTTTAAACACTGTTTATCCGAGCCCGCATAACACCAATGTAGGATACTTGTACACTCCATACAGTACCTTATATTTATACGGTTCTGAGAGATCGAACACCTCTACAAAATGACGCATGGACACCCTCACAGAGCCCACGGAGAACGGTTTAATTCACAAACCACAAACCCTAAACCCTTGAACCTCCTTAAACCCCATAAGACCTAAACCTAAACACAAAACACCAAAAACAAGACAACGGTTTAATTCATAATAACCCCCAAAACCCTGAACCCTTCAAGCTCACAAGACCTACCTGTACCCCCAGACCCTACAAAATAGTAGGCTATGACCCCTTGTTGAAGTTAGCAGATAGTATTTCAATTTTCTAACCATGCCCCATCCCCTAGCACCCAAACCGCAACAACCTATGCCTCAACCCTAAACTCACCGAAAGACCCACATGTAAGACCCACCTGAAGAAACCAAAACCATAACAACCTGTGCCTCAACCCTAAACCCACCAAAAATGCCAACCCCTAAACCCACAAGATCAAACCACCAGAAGAACCATACTCCACCACATAGAAAAACCTCAACCTCAACCCCATAGACTTAAAGGAACCTATTCCCTACTTTGAAGCAGACAGTTAAGGAATCCTTCGAGCGTTCGACTGGTAGAGCCGAGCCACGGAGATGCTAGCGATTCTTCTCCAGGGCTCTGCCTAAGGATTTAGGGGGGTTTAGGGTTTGGGCTTGGGATTTAGGGTTTAGGGTTTTTTGGGATGCAATAGGGTTTAGGGTTTAGGGAGGAGGCCATTGAATTGGCTTGGGGTGTACCAGGACCCCTGCGAGGGCCCTTTGATGGAGCCCTTATGGCCCTGAATAGCGGGTATTCGCGGTATAATTCTGGGTAGTTGGGGGTTCTAGGTACGGTTTAGGGTTTTAGGGTTCTAGGGTGTAGGGTCTACATGAACTCACCAGAACCTACTTTTTGCAGGGTCCCTATAAAATCCATGATCGGGTTCATAATAAGAACCTATAAACAAGTAGGCGGTGGTAGGTTAAGGCAGGGTTTTGGGGGTCCATCACTAGACCTAAGAGTAAACTAGGAATAACAAGGGTGCCCTTTTGGGTTTAGAGGGGTTTATAAGGGAACCTGAACCCTAAAAAAGGGAATAAGGGCCTACTCTGGGTCCTAAATCAACTTCGGGGTTTGCGGCTTTGATTAGGTTTTGTGGTGGAGGTACTTCGCTGTCAGGAATGGTTGAAGGTTACGGCTAACAGGGACTAGTTCGACTTTTGGGAATGTTAAGAGGATGCCTTCACCAACTTCTTCAGTCCTTTGTAAGGGGCCTGTATAAACGGCCTATACCCTAAACCCTAAACCCTAAACCCTAAACCCTAAACCCTAAACCCTATACCCTAAACCCTAAACCCTAAACCCTAAACCCTAAACCCCTAAACCCTAAACCCTAAACCCTAAACCCCTAAACCCTAAACCCCAAACCCTAAACCCTAAACCCTAAACCCCTAAACCCTAAACCCTGAACCCTAAACCCTAAACCCTAAACCCTAAACCCTAAACCCTAAACCCTAAACCCTGAACCCTAAACCCTACCGAAACCCTGAGCTCTCAACGTGAAAATTAGAGACGATCAGAGCCTGAGAAGTGAACCATTCAGGTAGTTCTCTAAATTAGGAATCTTTTGTGGGTTCCTTAAAGGGGTATGGGCTTCTATAAGGTTTCTATAAGGGTAATTCTCCAAATTGGGGGCTCTTTTGGGTCCCCAACATAGTACGGCACCCTTCCCAAAAAACCCTGAAAGTGGCCCTAATGTCCATAACTGCCCATTTACTTCATGGGCGAAGGATGAAGGGCTTTTAGCTCTGCTCTAGAGCAGGCTGTCTTCGCTCCTGGCCGGATGCTTTTCGCTCTCTGCGAGCTTTTCTGTCTGGGTCTTACTAGGGAATGGGGGAATGGAATATGGAGACTATAATTGGGGATTATATAGGGGCTACTATAGGGATCCATTGCCCCATTCCCTATTGAGCACCAGACAGTTTTCGCTCTACCCAGCTTTTTGGGCCTGCTGCTCGGGTTGGTCTTGGGCGTGGCCCCGAAAACTATTTCTGCTGCGGGATGAGCCGTATCCTCATCCCTTTGCCAGCTCTGCCTTTTCAGCTTCCAATAATGTAGAGGCCTTAATAAGTAGAATAGGGTTTTGGGGCCCATCATACCATAATTACAATAAGGAGCCCCCGAAATGGCACTGGTAACTATGAAGGCCCCGATATTATGGCTTTTGCATGCTCCGCCGGCCCAGCCGGCGAAAGAAATGAGATAGGATTCAACTCCTTTGTATTTTTCAGGCTTCGTACCTGCCTATAATATACCTACCTACCTACATACATACACATACATACAAAATTCCATACACACATACATAGACGTAGACATAGATATATATATATATATATGTTGTGTGTACATACATACATACATACATACATGCATACATACGTACATACAGTTCCACATGCATAGATCCTGAACAGCAAAGCTTAAACTCACCTAAACTCCGAAGCCCTTGACGGTCAAATAAACAAAACAGCAGCCTCTTTGAGTTAAATACTGCGTATTAGGCACGAAAACTTGCCCTTCTGCTACGCCTGCTACGCCATGCAAAATGTTCACAAGTACGAACCACCATGAACCTGCGCGACGACCCAGCAAACACCTCGCACCCTCTGAAGATCTGCGAGATCGGCAATAAAGCCCCAAACCCAACACGAAACACCTGTCTCCACACCACCGGTATACGCCCACCCCCCGCCCCCAAAAAAAAAACAAAGAAAGCAGATATCGACACCTACATCCTCAACACGGTTGAAGGCGCCCTTAACCCCTAAAGCGCGAACCCAAAGCCTGAATCCAAAGCCACGTTGCGGCGTCGCCGAGGACATGTCGGCACTGGGTTGTCGGTTCAAGTTCTCTTTGCTCTTTGCCTCGAATCCCACGCGTTTCGGGTTTAGGGTTTAGGATTTGATTAAAAGGGCTCCGGGTTTCTGTAAGGGCTCCTTACAGGCTTCCTGAAAGGGATGCTTTTAGGGTTCTTTTTTGAGGGGTTCCTTTACGCTTTCTATAAGACTTCATGTAGTCCCTAAATAGAAACTTTGTGGCGAAAGTCTAAACTAGTTGGGTGCATGGAGCTGTGGGCTTAGGGTACCACAATGATGGTATGAATGAGATGATAGTAATGGCGACAAAAAACAACAACAAGAAGCTTCAACCGTACTCTGGGGCCCCATTGCCCTTTTTCGGTTGTTTTGGGTGCCCCCGGATTCGACCGTACACTGGGTCCCCATTCAGCCACTATGACCCCGGCAAGCTGCACTCCGTCACTGCTACTTCCAGTGCCAGTGCTGAGGCCACCTAGTGCTACAGTGCTGATCTCTGCATGCGCGCCCCTCCCTCCCCTGGTCTCTGCACCCGCACCCCACCCTCCGGCTGGTCTGCGTTCGCGCACCCCTCGCTCCTGCTGCCAACCCCGATAACCCACCTTTAAAGGGTGCCTTACTGTGATTTCCTTTTCTGGGACTAAGGGGAACCCTAAACCCCTAAACCCTACTTCTTAAACAACCCTGGCAGAACCCTATAGATCCCGAAGAGGGGCCCTTGAGGGAGCGGCAAACCCCAAACCCTGACAGCCCAAGAGGTCGAGAAACAGCCTCTTCATCCAAGCCAGTCTTCTTCGTCCTTCACAATCAAGCGATTAGGGTTTTTTTAAGGCCTAGAGTTCAGGATTCAAGGGTTTGCTGTTCGCAATGGAAGGCTTCAAAAGGCTTTGAGTTTCAGCATGTTTAAACGACTGTTCGATTGCTTTGCCAGATGCTCAAGCGTTGGAGGATTTGTGTGCTGCCAGGGTTTAGGACTTCGCGTATTAAGGAGAGTCAAACTTTGGGCTTCAATCCGTGCAATGTTCAGGTATCCAGCTCAAAACGTCGAGGTTCAGGGTGTACTAAGCTCCCAAGTAGCCCTCTAACAATAAGGGTACCCTATGTTCTACGAAGTGGTGTTTAATACATGAACCCCAAAAAGGCGAAATGGGTATTACTGGAGAACCTAGCAACCTAGTGGCTCTAAACCCGCACAAATCTCTTATGGCAATTATACCCCCCTTAGAACCATAATAGAACTAACATCTTTAATATTCTCAATGGGTTTTATATGAACAAAAATACAAATAATTCCTGAGGAGACTATAGGCAAACTCTAAGGCGCACTTTAAGGAACCTTTTGAAGAAATTCTTGTTAATATGATTAGTATTACTAGTATCAGTAGTCATATTAGAACTACTAGTATTATTATATTTATTATTCGTATTGTTAGTATTATTAGTATTGTTGGTATTCATTGATCCCAAGAACAATGGGAGCTCAAGGGCACACTCTTTGGGAAGCTTAGCTCTCACTGCGGAAGCACAACATCGAACCCTAAAAACCCAAAACGTGAGCCATTAACCCTGAATATACCCATAAACCCTAAACCCCTAAACCCTAGGCCCTAACCCCTAAACCCCAAGCCCAAAGCCAAACAGCCCTAGCTCCGAGCTTCGGAAGTCCTGAAACCCCAGCTTTACCTATAGTCTCCATTGTAGTTCCTTTTTTGGTTTAACCAAATACATAATCCTATAAGGTAACCCCAAACAGGAATTACAATGGAGACTGTAGGTACGGTCGAAACCCCGTAACCGTAAACTCTGAATAACCTACCTTTTTAGGGTTCCTTATTATGAAGTCCTTCTATAAGTCCTTAAAAAGGTAGGTCCTTTCAGGTTTAAGGTAAACCCTAAACTTCCCTAAACCACTAACCCCCTAAACCGTTTGTAGTACAATGCCCTTCTTGGAGCCCATAGAGCACTCTTAGCAGAACCCAAGTCTCACTGTCGGTTGATGATATAAACCCTGCCTTATCCATAATACGGAACATAAAATGATTCCCATAGTCCAGGGTCATTTAGGTAATGCAGGATTTACATCATCAGCCGTAGTGCCCTAAAGCTACCCAGATCTTCCAGTACCCGTTAAGGAGTCTGAGTATTCCTTAAAAAAACTGGAAAACGGAAGATCTGAAAAAAGCCTCATCCCCATGTGCTAACTAAAGATCCAAGTCCTAGCCAACAGCCGGCCAAGCCTGAAATTCCCAGCCACAAGCCCCTAACGCAATCTGTCTTTTTGGGCACCGGACTCCATGAATGTGTTTAGGGCTTGGAGTTTGTGGCTTTAGGGTCCATATGGGTGGTTGTCAAAATTATGATGCATTTTTGGGTCCCTCATATAGTATAGTACGGCACCTAATATTTAGGGTACCCAAAACGGGACCATATAGGGTTTAAGGGTTCAGGGTTCATTGTTTGGGATGGACACCCTGTGCGAGACTCTTAGGCTCGTACTACTACACAGTAAATACACGGAAGCTCAATGCTATCTATACCCCTAAGGGTCCATGTGCCCATATAGAGATACATGGGCCCCAATGTACCTATATAGGGACTACATTAAGGCCAATGTATATACTATATGAGTACCTGGACCCTTAGGGTTTGATACATTCACTGCGATCTCTTGTAGAAACCCAAACCCTGAGGCCACAAAGCCCAAGCCCGAAACACTTAATCTAAACCCTTCCGATACCCTTATAGTCTTTGAAAGGCAATTACCCTTAAAGGAGCCCTTAAATGAACCCGAATGCCTCATATTATAGAACTTCAGCCTCAAACCCACAATCCCCCTAATCTAAACGCTTACAGCACCCATACACCCGGTTTAGATCGGCCATCCTTAATGACGAAGCTGCACCCAAAGCCGTTTGAGATCTGCCGTCCTCAATTCCGAAGCTGAGCTCCAAACCCTGAACCCTAAACGCTCATCTACAACTCCGTAAGCTAAACCCGTTCGAGATCTGACGTCCTCAATGACGAAGTTGAGCTCGACTTGAGGCTTCGCACGGAGTTCTGGCCGACGGAGCCACCGTTCGGGTTGAGGTTCTTAGGGTTTAGGGTTTATGGTTTATGGTGCACCCAGACCTTCATTGAAGGTATATTCGCGATTAAAGGGTTTAGGAAGATCTGGGCGACTGCTCGGGCGCAAGATCCACAAACAACACCGTTTAGAAGGCCCCGGCATGCTATGAAGGCTCTGTACCCGTCAACTCACATGGGTGGTTGTCAAAATTGGGGTCCCTTTTTGGGTAACCTAAATATTAGGTGGACCCAAAAAGGGACCATAATTTTGACAACCACGGGGGTTCAGGTTCTCCTCAAACCCTTCCGTCCCGACCCCGATCTGAATCAAGAACTCTAAACCCCGACCCTAAGGGTTCAACGGTTGATGATATAAATCCTGCATTACCTTAAGGACCCTAGACCTGTGAGAATTATGGTATATTCCTTATTATGGGTCATGCAGGATTTATATCATCAACCGAAGTACTCCCTCTTATAGCCTTCTGGGTCCATTTTGGGTACCAGAAACCACACATAGGGACTGCTTGGACCCTTAGGGCGAACCCTCAACCCTAGCAAAAACCATCAAGACGCCGGTCTGCTGCGCTTATAATGGGCACTGGCAGCCAAACCCTGAAGCCGAGGGTTTATCGTTTCAGGCTCGGGGTTCAGGGCCCCAAACGCTAAACCCTAACCTCTAAACCCTGAAACCCCTAAACCCTAAACCCTAAACCCTGAACCTCTAAACCCTAAACCCCTAAACCCCTAAACCCCTGAACCCCTAAACTCAAAACCCGAAGCCCTAAAACCCTAAACCCCTCAACCCCCTCAACCCCCTGAACCCTGCCTGCTTGCTGACCTTGGCCATGTACCGCCTCCCCGGCATGACTGAGATGCCGGACCTTCGGCTCGGAGAAGAACTGTACTTAGAGGATCATGGGACTTAGTGAGGGTTCTTAAAGGGCTCCTTAAAGGAGGGTTTCGGGTACTACTTGGAGGATCATGGGACTTAGTAAGTAGGTTATAACTGGGGTTATAAGTCCCCTAAGTGGGGTTATCCTAATTATAACCTACTTATAACCTTACTTACTAAGTCCCATGAGCCTTCAAGTACTGTTCTGGGTTTAAGGCTTAGGGTCTAAGGTTTACCTGGACCCTAAGGAGGTTCCCTTATATGATTTCTTTGTATGAGTCGTTAAAACGGTAGGTTACTTGGGGTTAAGGTAGGGCTTAGGGGTTTAGGGGTTTAGGTGTAGGGGCTAAGGGTTTAGGGTTTAGGGCTTATAGGGTTTAGGGTTTAGGGGTCTAGGAGACCCCTGAATAAAAATGAGCATCTTTCCTTTTTAGGAGCCTCCACTTTGAGAGTACGCATGAGGTCATAAGGGTTCTCCCGTAGGAGTCTTGCCCTACGTGTACTGTTCTGGGGAATACTTCCCCAAATCATAATAGTAATTCCTGATATGGAAACCCTACATTCTACTATATCGGTACTTCCCCAAATCACAGGAGTAATCCCCAATATGGAAACCCTACATTCTACTATATCGGTACTTTAGACCCTTTTTGGGTTGATGAAGGGGCAGTGGACTCTCCAGGTGCCCTGAACCCTAAATCCAAACTCTCTAAACACTAAGCCCGCTACCCCAAAACCACAGAGCAAAAAGCCAACTAGCCTAGCTGTTAATTAGGTTTAGGGTTTAGGGTTTAGGTTTTGGGTTTAGGGTTTAGGGTTTATCTTCAACCCTAAACCCTAAAACACTAGACCCAAACGCCAACAACTCTAGCTAACACCAAACCTCAAGCCCTTTCCAGCATCACCAGGCCTTCCACGTCGGATTTCGGAGATGCTATTCGAATCCGTGCCCAAAGTGGCCGGGCTTTCCTCGCATCTTTGGATTTCGAGGTCTACTTGGAGGATCAGGGGACGGAGTAAGTAAGGCTCCTTATAGGGTTCCTAGACGGGATCCATAAGGGATCGATAAGGGCTTCTAGAAGAGTTCGATAAGGAGGATCAGGGGACGTAGTAAGTAAGGCTCGTTTTGGGGTTCCTTAAAGGGATCCATAAGGGAGCTATAAGGGTTTCTCGAAGAGTTTTATCAGGAGGATCATGGGACTTAGTAAGCAAGGTTATATGTACCGTAATTGGGGCTGTAAGTAGTTATAAGTGCAACTACCCTAACAATAACCCCAGTTCCCAAGTCCCATGATCCTTTAAGTAGGTGTTTATGGGTTTCGGGTTTAGGTTTCATGTTTAGAGTTCAGGATTCAGGGTTCGGTTTCAGGGGCAAACAGCGACCCAACTCCGGAATTGAACCCTGGTGTTGGGATACTGGGACCCTCCCTATGAATCAGCAACTGCTGGCCATATGAATACACATATCTATCTGTCTGTCCATCTATCTGTATATATATATATATATATACACATACATATACATAGAGAGAGAGATATAGATAGATAGAAAGACAGGTAGATATGGATAGATAGATAGAAATACATGTATTTATGTATCCCCCAGAAGTTTGGATGCATGTCACGAAAAGGAGTTGCTGCTTCGAGGTTTGCAGTATCTAACCAGCGCATCCCTTCACAAATACCCGAAGTATACTGACGGCCAAAAGGGTGGTTTAAGATTCTTGGGGTAGGGATTCCCGGTTCCCGAATGTGAGCCCTATTCTGGGAACCCTAATCCCTACTAAACCCCCATAGGTTAAAACCCCTCTTGGCCTCCTATGATATACACTCACCATAATTGCTTTGGAGCCCTAGGATCCTTGTTGTAAGGACCCCATCATGAGGTACCCCTAATTGAGGAAACTCCCAGAAAAGTACCCAGAGTACAATCACCAAACCCGTGCAATAGACCTGCTTCATGTTCTGTAGGAGACACTAAGGCTGCTTAGACTGCTTTTTCGTAGTGATGCACACAGTCTTAGTTGATGAGTTCATGAGCCCCAGAAAGTGTACACTTTAAGTTTTATATTGGGTGGTATTGTCCCAAAAAGTGTAAAGTGTATCCACTCAGCTACTAAGCAGTAGAACCTCCAAGGAGCAATTGCGGAACCGCAAGACAACGATCTGCCAGTAACTGCCGATACAGGTCTGGCAACTAAGCAGCCTGCCTGCTTGATTGGTTTAGGGCTTTGGCTAAAGCTGCAATCCCAATTCAGTTGTGATCGTCTATTTCGGGGTTAGACTGTTGCGCAGCGAGTACGTCGCTGCATAGCTCAGGCTAGCTCCGACCTGATATCATCAAACCGCTACCGTAGGCTACCATCACATATGTTCACGGTCTTTAAATATGAACCGTAATTGAGAATCCAGAGGGACCCCACAAGTTGTAGCTTAAGGTACATTCTAAACCCAGGCCCTTAATCATAGTCCCCTTTATGGTTATCTGAAAGGTCCTAGCTATTATGTATGGCTTTTCGCTCTGTTAGGCTGTTAAGGGAAATATACTGCACCTGTAGTTTGTCTATACATACAGTAGCCATCGCCTCAGCCGTTTCAGTTAAGGTCTCGGTTCCAGCTCCAAAACAACTTGAACGCAACACTGCGTGCACAAAAACAAAATCAATCGTGACGACCAGCCATGGATCTACGAGTGGCCGATGACGTGAAAGCGCTGAGCCCTAGTTACACCCGAAATTTGAAACCGTAGAATCCTCCATGCTGTATACCCCATACCATGATCCCTGGCCAAGAGGGCACTTCTTATATGAAAGCTTAGAGAAACCCTTGAATCAAGAATTCCTGTGCGGAACTTTGAAAGCACATCTTACACTTCTGGACGCCGCCGAGCTGCATGCAGAATTTTCAGGTTCCGGGTCACCTGTGTTTAGGGCTCTGATCATTTAAGGCTTGGGGTTTGAGATTGAGGGGCTTACGGTGCTTCTTCGGCCTGCCAACTTCATTGAGTGCTGATCATCACTGAACATTCGAACTCGCTCATTAGACTTGGCCTGCTGCTACTGCTACAGCGTCAATGCTAGGGCCCCCCAAAAAGCACATAAGCAAAAATTAGGATAGGGATATCCCATAATAACCCTCCTTATAATGAAGCCCAATAAGGTAGGGAGCTATACTGAACCCTAGCAAAAAATATAATTCTAGCTGTTTCTTAGGGATTATTATAATAACCCAAAGTTAGAAATTATTTCGAAGTGCCCCTAAGAATGTGGGACAGTCGGGCAACGAAGCTACGTGCGGCATTTCCTTCCATGTGAAGGCTTCGGGGCTGCTGTCTTCGTTGCTTAAACCGAAATCCCTACAACCCAGGGCGTCTTAGGGTTGACATGCTCCCTGATACTGCTGATGGACAAAATCCTGCATTATCCTTTATAAGGAATATACCATAGTTCCCATAGTTTAGAGTCCTTAGGGTCATGCAGGATTTTGTCCATCAGCAGTAGTATCCTGAACTGCACTCGCAATACCCTGAACCCAAATACCTGAGTAGCGGTACTTAGACACTGGCAGGGTGAATTAGAAACGATGCGTACCAGCACCTGGCTCGACGAGATAGGATAAACCCTGCCTAAACCCTGAACCCCTAACCCCTAAAACCTGCAGCGCTAACCCCAACCCTTAATCCCTAACCCTGAAAGCATGCAACGCTATCCCCAACCCTTCCACTCCCCCCTAAACCATAAATCCTTAGCCTTTAAAATACCTGCAACGCTATCCCCGACTCTTCCACTAAACCGTAAACCCTAAACCGTAAAAAAAAAAACCTAACCCCTAAACCCCTAAACCCCTGAACCCCGAAACCCCTCATTTTTTGGCCTTGCCTCAATGTCATCGAGCTGCTTAACGTCTGCAGCCTGGTGCAGGGTTTAGGGTTAGGGGTTTGGGGTGTAGGGTTAGGGTTTAGGGTCAGGGTTTAGGGTTTACGGGTGTGTTGACCCTGTGGGTCCAAGTAGCTTCCAAATAGCAAATAGCAGGGCTTGAAGCCACCCTAATACTATCCTGACGCCTTCTTCACTGGCTGAATGTAAGGGCCTCCATAATTCGAAGAGGGCTTGTCGGCTGATGATGGTAAAAGTCCTATATATATATATATATATATATATTCTTTCTTCTATGAGCATTATTTGTAAGGGACATAGCTACTACATATTTCGACCACTAGATCGGGAGATTTTGGCCGGGGGTTGATTGATGCTGATTTAGTAGGTAGTGCGGTGAGAACTAAGCTCTTGGTATCCCCTTGCCCAAGCATAATGAGGGTGTCCTTTTTTGCCAATATTCCGCTCCAACATGGAAACCCCGAAGTAGACACCATAAAGTGGTACTGCTGCATGGTGTACCTGTTACAACTATCCCTTGAAGGAACCCATCAAGAAGCCTGGGCGCTCGATGTTGGAATCTATGGAGGAACACGGACCCAGCAAAAAACACCGAGGCATTGAACACCCAGACATCTGTTCCAGAACATCCTTATATGCTATAGCCATAGCAATTCAAAGAAGCAGGGTATGACCTATGTTTGAAGGACGTAGGCCCTTGCAAAAGCAGCTTCCATGCTGTATCCACAGGAAGGCTCTGCTTGGTGCACCTCCGTTGGTGATGTTAGTTGGCTGAAAGCAGTAAACTAGGGCTTCTGTGCCACAAGCTTGAAACCCACTATTCAACCTACTTCGTTGCCTGATCGAAAACTTACGACGCCGTACGAACGCCATAAGAACCGCCTAGAAACCAGAAAACCCTGAACACCAAAACTCTGCAACACCCCAACAGCCTCTGTAGCCATAAGTCCGCACTTCTAAACCCCCAATGGCTCTAGCCTAGACCCTACAACCCTAAACCCTAAACCGTGGAAACCCTAAACCCTGTAACCCCTGTAAACCCCAAACTAACCTTAAAGCCACTGAAAGTCCCTACAGCCCGGGAGCCCAAAGCCGGCTCCTCCAATTTCTATAAAAATCACCCCATGCGCCCTGCTTAAAGGGTCATGGGACTTAGTAACACGGGTTATTATTAGGGTAACTATACTTATAACCCCTATTATGGTACTTATAACCTTACTTACTAAGTCCAATGATCCTCCAAGTGTGAATCCCCGTGAAGACAACTAAGCCAGACGAGTAACGAAAAAACCCTAAAAGCAATGCCTGGGCTGTCTTGAACCCTAGAACCCTAAACTGTCTGGACAGTTTTCATCCAACAACCCTAAAAACCGCTTAAACCCCAAACCCTAAAACCCTAAACCCCTAAGGACAGTTGCGATCCAACAGCCCTAAAAACCCTAAAGCACCAAACCAGGGAGCCGAAAACCCAACGCCCAAAGCCCCCTAAGACCTTTGAACTCACCTTTGGTTAGACAGTAAAAACTATTACTACCACTACCATTCTTCAATTCCCTACTAACCAAAGGTAAGTGAAACCAGGCCTCCAAAAGCGTGAAACCAGGATGCCCAGTAACCCTAACAGGGTTTAGGGCTTTAGGGGTTTAGGGTTTAGGGGTTTAGGGGTTTAGAATTTGGGGTTTTAGGGTTTAGGGGTTTAGGGTTTTAGGGTTTAGTGTTTAGAGGTTTAGTGTTTAGGGTTTTAGGGTTTAGGGTAGTATAAACTAGGAAGCCAAATAACCTAGGAATAAAAAGGGCTCCCTTTTTGGTATTGGGTATCTTTATAATAGGAACCTAGGACTACAAAAAAAGGAATAAGGGTACTACTGGGCATCCTAGATTCTGAGGGTCAAGCTACATCTACTACCATAAACCCCAAAGGGCATACAAATCCGAAGAGCCCTGAACTTGGGGGGTTCTTAGGGCTAAGGTGTAAACTGGAAAGCACTATAAGCCCTCTGCTAGCAACTCTGAACTCCTTCCCTAAACCGTAAAACCATGTAAACCCTATAAACTCTAAATCCCAAAAACGTCTCCGAAACCCTAAACCCGAAGCCATCAACCCTCAACCCCACGCCCCCCGCTAAACCCCAAGTACCCTAACGCACTCCCGACACCTCGAAGGCTCCCCGGAGTTGGTTGATGGACTCTTCGAGCTCCTGCGTCTTACTCTGAGGGCTTACCTATAGTCTCCAATGTATTTCCTTTTTGGGGTTACCTTTTAAGATCCTTAATGTAAAATTCGCCCTAAACCCTAAACCCTAAACCCTGGTTAAACCAAAAAGGGAACTACAATGGAGACTATAGGTAGCCTTTAGGGTTTCGGGCATCGGATCTAGGGTTTAACGTATAGGAGATCTAGGGTTCATTACCCAGGATACCCAGTAACCTAAGAATAAAAAGGCGTCTCTTTTTGGTATTGGGTAACTTTATAAGGAACCTAGGACTACAAAAAGCGAATAAGGGTACTATGGGAGATCCTAGTTACAGTAGAAGCCAGAAAGTTGGAACATGGCTTTAGGAGGATTTCTGCTAGGATCCCTTATACTGTACTTTAACGGCATGAGGCTACTGATGTTCCAACTTTCTGGCTTCTACTGTAGGGTTTACAAGACTTAGCTACAATCTCCATTGTAGCTCCGTTATTTTGGTGTTAAACCAGTTTTAGAAATGGGATCCTGTAAGGTATTTAAGCAGAAAAAGGAACTACAATGGAGACGATAGGCAGGCTTTAGAGTATATGGACTTTCCACGAGTCCTTTGTGAGTGCTGCTGGTGGGCTTGAGGGACGTGTAGGGCCTTCCTTATTGTGCCGTGAAAATAGTAGGCCCCCAAAAAAGGCACATCAGCAAAAAGAAGGATAGGGATATCACACATAAACCCCCTTATAAAGAAGCCCAATAAGGTAGGGATGTCCCTGAAAAAGGATGATGCTTCGGTCCTTTTTGTGTCCCTAAAACAAGGGCCATGGTCTTAGGGTGTCCAGTACGGTTTCCGTCATGACCCCGAGGGTCCAAGTACCTAATGATCATATGCTCTCCAAAATCCTGACTTCCATAACTACTATCCTAAAACCGAGTACCTAATTATTGGGTCCTTTGGACCCTTTGGGGTAAGGGTCCAGGGTCCAACGGGCTTTTTGTCGGCTCGGGAGCTCAGGTCCCAAATTTGATACAAGGTCTCGGCTTTCGGTTTAGGGTTTAGGGCTTCTTTTTAAATGCAGTGCTGCCACGACCCTGCCTTTGACAGGCTTGCACAGAAAGGAAACATGAACAGTTCACCCTGTCGTCGGAGGGTTTAGCGTTCAGGCTTGAGGGTTTCGGGTTTTAAGCTTCACAAAGATCTTTTGAGCGGCCCTGCCGTGCTCTGTGTAATGACACATGTAATGGAAGCCTCCTTGTCGCTGAATAGTGCCAACCTAGCTTCAATGGTGCTAAGACGTTGCCAAAATTATCCCAAAGAAGTGCCAAAGCATATTGAAAGAGTGCTGGAACAGTGGGAAAACATCGCCAAACAGTGCTAACTTCATACAAGACAACAAAAGTGCTAAATAGTGCTGAATGGAGTTAAATCATACCAGGAAGCGAATACGCTTGCTGACGAAACTGCCACGTGACAACTTTGCGGCCGGTTAAAGTCCAAGACAAACAGACAGCTATCTGTTAGAAGCTGCCCCCTGTAATAGTGACCATAAGGATTATATGGGATTATATCAAGGCTCTATTATACTCCTATTATACCACTATTACAGGGTGGGGGCAGTTCCTAAGCCAGCTGCAAACAGGTCTCAAAGTTGAAAAGCCGAGAACACACAAAACGCCATGAAGGAAGAAATCAGCAACTCGAAAGCAGCAATCTCGAAGGCGCCTCTTTAGTGCTGCGCCGAAATCGCCGGGGAGCGCGGTGGCGCAAACCTTTTCCAAAGCCCAGGCGTGCGGGCGCTTCCAAAGTAGGATTCTCTTGTAGGTGTCCCAAACCCTAAACCCTAAACCCTAAACCCTACACCCTAAACCCTAAACCCTAACACCTACACAAATCTACTCACAGAAGGATACTCTTGCAGAGGTCCAATGCTCCCCAGCACCTCTTGAAACTAAGAAACTAACGGTTGATAATAGAAATCCTGCATGACCCATAATACGGAATATGCCATAATTCCCATAGTTTAGGGACCTTAAGGTAATGCAGGATTTATATCATCAACCGAAGTACCCCTTCTCCTACAGTTTGAATAGGGAGCCCCCAACCCTATGTAGAGCCCAAACAGTGCAAGGGTACTGTTGGAGGCACCCTTGTCCTTTTAGAAATATTAGACAGAGCCCTATACCTATATCCCTTAATAGCCTTAATGGGGATTATTTAAGAAGGTCTACTAGCCGGTCGGTTTATTCTGTTGGGGGAACCATGAAAAAGGACAAGGCTGGTTGGAGGACTTGGGGTCATTCTTGGTAAGGATGCTCATCGCCGGGGGAGGGGCGAGAAGGGGAGCTTAAGTGAAGGAACCCCTACGGACCCTGAGAGCTCGGTCCTTAAAGTACCTTAACCTACCAAAACCTACTTTTTTTGTAGGGTCTCTATTGACTTCATATTAGGCTTTATAATAAGAACCTACAAAAAGTAGGGTTGGTAGGTTAAGGTAGGTGTTAAGGTTGAGATTTAGGGTCGGGATCAAGGCGATCGGCTGTAGGGAATCACAAAACTTACCTTTGGTTAGTAAGGAATGGAAGAATGGTAGTTATAGTAGTAATAATTGTACCCCATTCCTCCATTCGAGAAAATTAGACTCGTAATCCTGATCGCTCCGTCATGCACTTAGTTAAAAGTACTCACAACCCCAATCGAGGCCCGTATATATACCAGGGTGAAACCCGCCAATGTTGACGAATTTCGGAGCCGAGGACGTCTGTGAAGCAACTGCGCACTTGGGCATATGGTGAAAGCATTTAGAGTGTTGAAACCCAGCGGGTCCAAGTGCCCAAATAGTAGGGTTTCGGAGTCCAAAAACCATTCAGAGTATGGATTTTTGGGATTTGAAACCCTACTATTTGGTTATTGGGACCCTCTGGGAATGTTTAAGCCTTATATGGTATGGTCTTTGGGCCCAAAAGCCTTAATATGTGAGTCCTTAGATTCCTAGGGAAAGGATTTAGAGTGTCAAAAGTTTAGGCTTTACACTGCCTTCGGGGTTGAGGACTCACGGATTCGGATGAAGCAAGGGCTTCTGGCTTCTGGTGTGTTTAGGATTTGTGATTCGGGTGACAAGGGGTACCTGATTTTGGGGTCCTTACAATGAGGATCGTACTATTTAAGGTACTATATTAGGGTCCCCTTTTTTCGCAAACTCCCACTTCACTGCTGGTTGAACTGGTCGTCATTGAGGTACAGTGGCGCCGGATTGCTCACGGCAAGCCAAGAGATGATTGCCGCCAGCAGGTCGTTGTCGCAAGACCAAGTACCCAAAGGGTCCTATGTACCGATATAGAAAGTAGAATGTAGGGTTTCCATGTTATGAATGACTATCATGACTCAGGGAAGTATTCCCTATAACAGTACATAGGACCCTTTGGGGTAGAGCCCTGCTTGGAGGTTGTTCGTGAACTTCGGTAGCGTGGCTCGCTCCTTTTGGGCCAGTTTGGTGTATAAAAAGGTGTAATTACCTAAGTTAACTTTTTTGGGTTATATAGGGATTATACAGGGACTATACTACCCAAGAAAGGATAAAGCTTACCTACTCGACTACTAGGATTAAGTGCGGGAGGCCACGAGCTCCCCCTGGCTGGCACCTTGCCTGTTCAGCGGGCGTCACCAGTGTCTCGGACGCTTCAGGAATGCCACTTTGCATTTGGATCCATCCATTTTTGAGCCCCTATGACACTGGAACCACCACGGTCAAGAGCCCAATCTCATGACGCAAACCGCGCCAGGTTCCGTGCAATTCGTCCCCCCGGTTTGGCTCTCCTGACGCTGCCTGGTGCCTGTACAACTTCGCTTCTGTGAGCCAGTGCATTCCCAATTACCCTACATGTACCCTGAAGGGTCCCTCAGAACCCACCTCAAAGGCCCAAGGGTCCAGAAGGGGGCTCATGCTTCTAGCCTTAAGTAAGCCACACTCGGACTCTTGCAGTTGCGGGCAGCACACTTACGATAAGGTTCCAAACGACCAAACACGAGGTAGCCTGGGTTTAGGAGAATGTAGAACCGACCCCTTAAAAATGAGGATCCAAACTTTCAGAAGACCCCAAACCCTTACAACACCTCACAAGCCCCTCGCAACCGTATCAACGCCCATGAACCCCTATATAATCAACCTTTGAAAATTACGAAACCGTCCGCCTGGGAATATCAACAGCAGCAGCTGCACGACCAAAATGAGGACCTGGGCTGATTTGTTGTTATGTCTGGGTTTGCCACGGGGAATATGGGAGTTTCCGAAAATTGGGGTACCTTATTTTGGGGTCCTTGCAACAAGGATCCTATTATTTCGGATACTATCTTGGGGTCCCATATTTTCGGCAACTCCCTTTTAGCTACTTTCAGGTCTGAGCGTGCCCAGCCTTCGTGGTTTGTCTCATGCCCTTTCCCCAGATGTTAAGCCTTGAACAACAAGTTTCAACAAAAGATCCACAAAAGGGGCACTTAGTTAAGACAGGGATTCAAGGTTCCTGTGGGCATAAAGTCTAGGGCCGGGGTTGCTGTTAAGGCTTGTTAAGGTTGGGGGGTTTTTGAGTGTCCCTAAACCCTAAACCCTAAACCCTATAAACCCTAAACCCTAACAATTGGGGTTTGGGGTCTAGGCGTTCAGGGCCGTTGAGGGTTCAGGGTTGAGTGTGGGAATTTCGGGGCAGGAAGGGATTTGGGTCTTAGGGTTTAGGGTTTAGGGTTTAGGGTTTAGGGTTTTGCGTGCATCTCCATTGCAGTAACGACTATAAGCCAAACCCATGTCCAAGGTGATGCTTGGGTTTAGGGCTAGGGTGTAGTTTAGGTTTAAGGCTACCGCTATTTCGCTTTTTCTGCGGGCCTTACAGCGTCAATATAAGTATTTGTACTGTAACCCTAAACCCTAAACCCCTAAATCATAACTTACAAGGGCCGCATTGCGGAAATTTATTGGAAGGTCTGATAAGGCGCAGAGATGGCTCTGAGCCTTCCATTTTCGAAAATAGGAGTTAGGATTAGTGGGACCCTTGGGGATAGAGACCCTCTCAATAAGGCCCCTTTTAAGAGAGCCAGAAGTAGGGTTCAGAAGGGTACCCTTTAAGGGGGTTCCCCAATAATACTACCTAGAAGACTCCCGTTTTCGGGTTTAGGGTTCATCTCGAAGTCGAAGCGAGCATCCCAAGCCCAAGCACTTCATCCAAGCCGTACTACGGTTGATGATAGAAATCTTGCATGACCCATAATAAGGAATATACTATAATTCCCATAGTCTAGTAGGCCCTTAAGGTAATGCAGGATTCATATCATCAACTGTAACAGCCCTTTCGGCATCCCAAATCTAGGATGCCCAGTAACCTAGGAAAAAAAAAGGCCTCCCGTTTCGATATTATAAAGAACCTGGGACTACAAAAAGGGAATAAGGGTACTACTGGGCTCCTAGTACATCCTATCTGCGCAAAGCCACAACGCTACAAAAGGCACCAAGTGCAAGCTTGGCAAGATGCTCAGCCACAAAGCCAAGCACCACGCACAGGTCCGTTCAATCCAATCGGTGCCCTGAACGCTAAAACCTATACCCTAAACCCTAAACCCTATACCCGAAACCCTATACCCTAAACCCTGTATACCCTATGCCTTTTGAACCCTAGACACCCTGAACCCTTTACCCTAAACCCTACACCCTACACCCTATACCCTAAACCCCTAAACCCTAAACCCCTAAACCCTATACCCTAAACCCTAGACCCCTAAGCCCCTAGACCTAAGAGTAACCTAGGAATAAAAAGGGTGCCCTTTTTGGTTTAAAGGGGTTTATAAGGGAACCTGAACCCTAAAAAAAAAAAAGGAATAAGGGCCTACTCTGGGTCCTAGACCCCTAAGCCCTGAATCCATGGGCTTCGGGCTTTGAAGTTGAGGCACGAAGCCCTGAACCCCAAGCAAAGGCGACCCCACCGAACCGCAACCGCGCTTAGGGCTTAGGGTTTAGGGTTTAGGGCCGAATTATAAGCTTGAACCCTAAACCTTCAGGGTTTAAGGAATCCGAAAACCCTGAACATTCTCATAAAGCCCTACGTTCAGGGCGCCACACACCCCAACAACGGAGCCGGGACACGGCGCCGCCGAAGGACACCAGCTGGAAGAACAGCAAGATCTGGTCCCGGTAGGTGGTGTCTGAGCGTGTTGGAGGAGTAAGGATGTCTTTGGTAAATACTAGGTTTGGGGTTTCGTGTATATAGGGTAATACAAAACATTCAGCAAGAAGCCCCAAACAATACTACTGCCCGTGTTTAGACTTCTAAACTCAAGATGTCTTTGGTACTGGGTGTATGGCGGGTCTTCTACTATACACCTGATAAGTAAGGAACCCTATGGACAATGAACATGGAATTCCGTCCACGACTCTAACTATTTCTTTGGAGGTCTTAAACTATACCATTATTTGGACCCCTCAAAGAAAACTGAAGAAGCATATCCCTGAACCCGAAACCCTTACCCCTAAACCCTTTACGCCTAAGCCCTACGAAATACTATACTCCAAACCCAAAAAGGACTAAACCCTAAATTGACTGCCCTAAGGTCTCAAGCTATCAGACATCAGGGTTTTTTCGTTTGCAGGATTTGGGGTGGGGTTTGGTGTTTACGGTTTAAGGTGCAGGGTTTGGGCTTTGTGCTAGCCTTTGGGGTTTAGGGGTTTGTGCCTCAGAGATTTTTCGGGTGTCCAGGATTTCTTGAACCAGACTGCTACACACCTTAAAATCCTGAAAGGCGCAGCAAGTAAGCCGTCAATACCTCCACCATCCTCCACCTCTGCACCCTAAACTTCAGGAGCTTGCAACCCTAAGCTACATGTGCTCTTACTCTCTTTGCTTCTGCCCGATGAGCATGTTTTCTCAGGCTTGCATGAATGGCCTTTGGCCGCAGGTACGCTGCCACCGGCTGTGACATTCAGGGCATGCTTGGAGGATCATGGGACCTAGTAAGTAAGGTTATAAGTACCCTAATTGGGGTTATACGTAGTTATAAATGTAATAACCTTCTAATAACCCCTAGTTACTAAGTCCCATGATCCTTTAAGTGGGCACTGGGCGTGGCCTGTTCCCTTGCCTGCTTGCTCTCTCCCAGGGGAGCGGTATTGGGAGTCTGTGCCGGCAAGGACCCCGATTGGCATTTCTTGGCGTGTCCTGCATTACCTTAAGGACAGTAAGGGGTTCCTTCTAAAGGATCTATAGGTTTTAGGGTTTAGGGTTTAGGGTGATGATATAAATCCTGCATTACCTTAAGGACCCTAAACTATGGGAACTATGGTATATTCCTTATTATGAGTCATGCAGGATTTATATCATCAACCGTGCTTCTTTGCCTGGCCCTAAGGGCTCAAGTACCCAATAGTCATATGCTCTCCAAAATCCTAACCTACCCTAAGGGTCCATGTACCCATATAGAGATACATGGGCCCCAATGTACCTATAAAGGGACTACATTAAGGCCAATGTATATACTATATGAGTACATGGACCCTTAGGGCTACATAACTACTCCTCAAGCTGAGTACCTGACTATTGGGTCCTTTGGACCCTCAGGGTGGATCCAAGAGCAAGACATGGGTAGATCATGGGACTTAGTAACTAGGGGGTATTATAAGGTTGTTACATTTATAACTACGTATAACCCCAATTAGGGTACTTATAACCTTAAATCGTAGGTGCCGTATTATAATAGGGACCCCAAAAGGGACCATCATTTTGACAACCACCCACATGGCTCATGTTGACATGGGATGCTCAAGCGCCCAAGCCCTGTCCGGCATGCTTGTTACAACGCACAACTATGGTGGAATTAGGCCCCAAAAGACCATCCCTATTATGGTTTTGGGGACCCAATTCTATGATGGTAGTGTATATGGACCCTCTGGGCTACAGAATCCTGTAGACCCCTTAACAAACCCTAAACCCTAAACCTTACGAAAACCGTTAAAGTGTTAACGGAATCCACCCTGCATTCCGGCCTGTCTCGGGACCTCCCTCTTCAAGGTACGCGCGAGAGTAGTCGTTGTCCTGGGATCTGGGCCCTTCTATAGGGGCCTTAGTAATTAGAATAGGGTTCCTTTTAAAGGGTTCCTTAAAGGCTTAAAGGGCTCTACAATGGATCTATAGTAGGGTTCTATAGGGGCCTTAACAAATTAGAATAGGGTTTCCGGGCCCAGTATACTACAACGATAAACAGGAACCCTCAAAATGGAGCTGGTAATTATTTAAGCCCCTGTATTCTAGAACCCAACTATAGAACCCTTATAGTACTTTATACTTGTAAGGACCCCTGTAAAGGAAACCCTATTTCTAAGATTCAAGGTTTAGGGTGCAGTGTTCTCGGGCCCCCGAAAACTCTGAGCCTGAATAAGTAGAGGAAAAAGCTTGGAGGAAGAATACACTATACCTGTTTTCAGGGTTTGGGACGAAATTATTCGTTGCATCAAGTAGACAGCCCGGGGTACTTTGTTTAAGATTTGTGCCTTGATTGGGATATGGGGAGGTTCCGAAAATAGGGGACCCTAATATGGTATCCTAAATAGTAGGATCCTCCACGACAAAATAAGGCACGTTTTCGGAAACTCCCATATACCTGTTTTCAGGAACCCCAAAGAATAGGGTCAGAAAACATTTACGTTCCTATGGTACCCCAACCTAGCAAAGTACCTGATATGTAGCTTTTTGTTGACGTATTTTCGGTCGATGACCTAGCTCCCTAAAGCTCCATGTGCCCATATAGTATAAACTTAGGCCTTAAACGGTTGATGACATAAATCCTGCATGACCCATAATAAGGAATATACCATAATTCCCATAGTTTAGGGTCCTTAAGGCAATGCAGGATTTTGTCCATCAGCAGTATCGTATATACTTAGGCCTTCAAGTACCTATATAGGGACCCGCTTAAGGCTTAAGTATCTACTATAATGGTACATGGAGCCTGTGGGGCTATAGCATGCTGGTCCCGGATGCTTGGGGGCCCCAAAGCCACCGAGCCTGGCGACCCTAATATAGGAACCTGATTAAGAAACCTTGGGCATTTATTAGGGTCCTGTGTATGAATCCTACTATATTGGGGGCAGTTTAAGGCCAGGGTTTCTTAATCAGGTTCCTACAGTAGTCAAGCTGAGCCCCAAAAGCTCTAGCGGCCCAACTTGTTGCATTTTGATGGCTCCTTCTCACCAGATCCCCCCAAGGGCCCTTTAATCATGACGTTCAATAGTGGGTATTTGGGGTATATTAGAGGGTAGTTGGGGGGTCTAGGCACCTTTGCTTCTGGAAGGTGGGATTTGGCTAGAAATAAAGCAATTGGTTTCGGGGTTAAGGGCCTGAGCTGCAAAGCTTCGAAGGCTTGGGGTGGAGGGTGTTTAGGGTTTAGGTTTGGACCTAACGCCGACAATGCTTGGGCCCGAACTGGTACGTTTTTCATGGGGTTCAAGAAGAACTCTGTGCTACGTGGGTTTGTTTGGTACCTTTCGCTCAAGAGCTCATGTTTACTTTAATTCCCAAAAGTGATCTTACTTCATGCGATCCTGATGGCTGGACCCCCGAAAGAGCTCCTGCAACTGTCCAAGTGCGCAAAAAGGAGAAAGAGTGCAAGAACCTCAAATGCCAAAAACGTTGAAAGAATACTGTTTTAAGACCAGATGCCCCGGTCTTTTGGGGATCTTGGACTAAATAAGTAGACCTTGATTTCAACCCCTCAAAGTAGCCCTCTACAGCCCTGAATGTTATACCATTACAGTGAAAATACTGTATAAGAACCCACTGTTTAAGAACCTGAGCCCCTACCCAAGGCGGAATTCACCAGATTCAAATTGCCTCAATGTTAAGAACCTTAGGGTACCCTAGTTTTTTGGGTCAGGTTCTTAATTTTTTGAGTGCTTTCCCTCACCAAGGAAATTTAGAATCGAAAACTAAATTTCCGAACCCTCCACATCAACAAGCCCTCTGCCCGAACATAATGAACGTATGATGGCTGGGCAACAGCAGGCATGCCACAACGGAGTGGTTGTGCATGAGTTCTGGAGACAAGAGATCTTGTTTCGAACCCCATTGGTGTCATGCACTGAAAATTTAGAATTGAAATCTAAATTTTCCAAACCTCCAGCATCCTGCCTGTGCTTCCATGATTCCAAGGCACCAGGAAATTTAGAATTGAAAAATAGTTTTTCCACAACAGCCTCCTACTGGCCCTGTGGTTCCAGGCCCAAGGCTTCGACCCACACCGACGGTGTCAGGAAATTTAGAATCCAAAAGTAAATTTCCAGCTCTTCCTCCCGACCCCCCAAAACCCTATGCGGAAAGCCTTTGTTTCAATCCCCAGTGGTGTCATGCCGCTGCGGGCGGCTCGCCCGCAGCTCGTATTCCACCGAAACAGAGCCCCTTGCCACCAAACCGTGGAAATTTAGAATTCAAAAATAAACTTTCCACACCAGCCTCCTCCTGGCCCTGTGGTCCTTGGCCCAAGCCACACCCCCGGCACCAGGAAATTTAGAATTGAAAACTAAATTTTCCAGACCCCCATGGCCCACCGCCCCCCACCAGGAAATTTAGAATCCAAAAGTAAATTTTCTGGAGGGCCCCTGGCCGTGCCCTCCGCCCCGAGTCCTTTCGACGAGCTGTGGAAATTTAGAATTGAAAATTAAATTTTCCAGACCCGCATGGCCCACCGCCCCCCGCCAGGAAATTTAGAATCCAAAAGTAAATTTCCTGAGAGCCCTTGGTCCATTGGTCAAGGTACCGGATAAGAACGTGGTTAAGAACCTGAGCCTACCCTAGCTGCTCGAACGGCAAAATCACATGTAATTGAAATTAAGAACCTTAGGGTACCCTACTCTCGCCGAACGGGGTTCTTATACAGGGTTTTCATTGTAACCCTCTCCTAGAACTACAAGACAAGAGTATCGCAACCTTGCACGGGCCGTGGCTGCTGAACCAAAACCTTACGGCATAGCGGTTTAGGCTGACCCCTAATCACTAAACCCTAAACCCTAAACCCCTCAACCTAAACCCTACACCCTAAAACCCTAAACCCTAAACCCTTAAAACCCTAAACCCTGAAACCCTAAAACCCTAAACCCTAAAACCCTAAACCCTAAACCCCAAAACCCTAAAACCCTAAACCCTTTATAGGACTCTTCAAGCGGGCGGCCGAGTCGAAAGCAAAGCCCATGCCGGCAGCAAAGAAGCCTAAGGCCGGCGATGCGCCACACAAGCGCAAGGGGGGGCTTTAGGGTTTAAGGGTTTGGGGTGGGGGGGGGGGTGTGTCGATACACCCACAAGGAATACTCCTTGTTAGGAGGTGTATGACCAGTTATTCCCTAAGGATCAAAGGGCAGCGCCCTGCACACGGACAGTAGTTGTTTTGTCTTGCTACGCAAGGAGAGCTTGTCTTGTCTCAATATGGTAAAACCACTGTGAGCCAATGGGCAGCGGAATGTATATGTATGAGCATGCAGCCATTGCTGTAGGTACCTGTTAGAGCTACCCCTTTAGAGGTTTATGGTTTCAAACAGACACTAATTTTCTTTTACCGGAAGCATGGCCGCACATTCACACATATACTATTATGCCCACTGTCACAGTTGCGGAGTCTGGACTCATGATGAAAACAGCATATTATTTAAGCTAGGTATAGCACTGAAGTACACTGCTGAGGACACTCCTTTTGCACACACTCATGCATGTTGGTCAGAGAGATCGTCTGTACAAGATCATGTCTGGTGATATTTTCTACATCGAATTATGCAGCCCTTCACTTTGCTCTTGTTAGAGCTTTGTGAGTCACTGTTGTGAAACTCCGAGATTTTCCTTATCTCAGATTTGGATCCAGGTTTGGATCATAGGCTCGAGCGTAGACGTTCGGATGTGGCTCATCCGGGTCTGAGTGATCTTCTTCGGAACTTGAATAAATTCCGAGTAGTCTGTTCTCAGCCCTGGTGAAGGCGGCGTCTGCAGTATCATATCCATGGTTGGATGTTGTCGCCTTTGGCTCGGCCTTTGGCGCAGCTTGTGAGCTGACTGGAGTTGCCTTGGCTTTAGCCGGTTGTGGCTGCTTAGCCTTTGCCCGTTCAGCCCTTCTTCTTTCAAGCTGTCCGTCTGAGGACGCCCATGATCTTTCACTTTCATCTCCTGAAGGAGATAAGGCGTGGGCATAAAGGCTATTCCAGTACTGTGCTGCAGAAGGAGTTAGGACTTCTTCATTGTCAGATTCTGACTGGTCTTCCTCAGAGCTTTGGTCGTCAAAGAGTGTCTCGAGGACATTTTTGAGATTGTTATTTCTTCGCTCTATCTCTAGTGAGGAATGGACCAATTGGTTAAAGACTGTCCTTGAGTCCTTCAGTGCTGTTAGAAGGATTTCCACTCTGGATAGAGTATCTTGGATGGTGTCAAGATGTTCCTTCCTTTCCTCCTTGTCTCTCTGGATAGAGCTTCGCAATGATTGTGCGATTCTGAGGAGGTCTGTGTATTTCGTAAGAGGCATAGTTACCGTTTGATTGTCATGTATGACAGTTGTTTCGTCGCCGCTTAAGTTCCTGAATAGGACTTCCACGACTGGTAGAAACTCCGTGCTCCACGGTTCCTCTTCATCATATGTTTCTACGTGCTGTAGCACGCGTTGTGTAAACTGATCGGCTGCTTCTACCGTTGCATCGATAGAGCTGACGTGTCTTGCTGCCATGTTTCGGCACGTAATGTTAATTGCCTGGCCTTGATTGGCTTCGTTAAGTGCAGCGTCTGCATAGGTGCAGAGTCCACTGTTGTGGGCTTCTCTGGCTGCCTTTCGTTGAATGCGCCGATTTTGACCTCCTCTTCTGGTAGGACCTTTTGGTCTCGGAGGATCTGAAGGTACTGTTCCTTTCGCCTTTGGCGGAGGACTCTTAGGTGGAGGTGACATGTTTGCCTTGTTAGGCACTGGTGGCATTGCCTTGGGCGCTGACGACGATGCGGCACTTGAGAGTGCAGATGTACCTTTGGCTTTTGCCGAGGATCCCTTGGGGATCGATGTATAGGTAATCTGCATGGCTTCTTCGGCCATTTGTGCATGCAATGCATCTTTGAATAATTGCGTCATATGAGGAGTGGTACTTGCATCATCGTAGGTCTGGAAGCGCTCAATGTCTCTTTCGGTGCCACGTGGACGTGTATCACCTCTTTGAAAAGGATCGTTCCTGCGAATCTCCGCAACTTGTACTGCATGGAGGCAGTTTTTGCACAGCACCTTCCTGCAAACATCTCTTGCTTGCTTGAGCTGGTAACAGCTGTCTGAGCTGGTAGACTTCTGGGAGAGATGCTTCAAGTATGCCAGATAGGTCGCAGATCAGTTGTTTCTCCGGAATTGACCCTGTTGGGTCCTAAAGGTTCACGCGTCTGCGGTTCATCCTCGGGTTCGAGGAATGGAACTCTTTGGTTCGCTGCTGCTTTTGATTTTGGTTGTTGGCGCTCCATACATCTGATAGGAGGCCTGGTAATCTGCTTCCACATCCAGTGTAAGCCCATTAGCAGCAGAAACACATTCCACGCGATGCTGAAGACGGAGAAGTCCTGCTCACTGGTTAGTGAGTTTGGAAGTGAAGTTTCATCAGTCTTGATAGACTCTGCGTTCGCTCCACCTTGGTTGCGGTGTCCGAACCAGCCCGACAACCCCGCTGCTGTAGCAGCTGTTCTGAGTGCCTTGCCGCTCGGAGCAGACGGTGGACGCGATGCCTTCCTTCTTCTCCTCCGGCTGGAGGATTCGTCCTCTTGTTCCTCTTCATCTCTCTGAGCAGACATCAAGTTTGATGTTTCTCTTTCGTGTTCTTCGATGTCACTTTTTGTTGGTGACGGTTCTTCTTCTAGTCCATCCAGCTCTTCCAAAGACATGTTGAGCTTGTCAACAATATTGGTTCTTTGAGGCCTGGACCTTGATCTTGGTAGATCTTGTTGTGAAGAGGACGATGATTCCTGGTTCCTTCTTGGAGGAGGACCTTCAGGCTCGCTGGGACGTTCAGGCTGTGGCCATTCCCAGAATCTTCCGTATCTGTGATGGCTACCTGATGGTTGCGATCTGTCGTACCAGCTGTTGCCGGATGAGTAAACGAATGAATCTTTGTAACCCCAGTATTCAGCATTACGCTGCTTGAAAGCCTTTCGCTTGTCAGCGATCTTCTGAACCTGGGCATCTGACCGGTTGTGTTTCCCTTTTGTAAGGATTGGTTGTATCGTGAAGCCCAAAGGGCTGTGCCAATCTTTGTCAGAGGGACTCAACCATAGGTCAAGGTTAGAAAAAGTTGAATAGTACTGCTTGACTGAGACAAACAGACGGATATCAATATCCCTGTTATTGTTCATGTCCTGCCACATATCTGAGATTCGCTCCCAGTATGTTCTTTCGGCGGCAGGTGTAACATCTCTTGGACTAGGTGACGCCGTGTGCGGCGTTTTACTCCAGTCAAGGATATAACTGTTGATACAGTCAAGGTCAGCAACTTTCTTCGCCGGGTCCGCCGGTAGACGATCTGCACGTGCCAGTCTGTGCTGGTCGGAGTTGTTCAAGCAAAGATGTCGCACTTGTGAGTGCCTTCCTGCTATTTTGTTGAATGCTGCAAGTTTCTTCTCCAGGTATAGAGAAAACAAACTGTTTCGCGGGTGAACGTCTCCACCTTTTAAGGTGAGCCTCGACGCAATATTATTGAGATCTCCCGCTATTACATCCGGTTTAAAAGGGAGAATCTCGTTGAGGAACGCGTTCACCAGTTCGCGTCTCTGTTCTTCCTTATGAGTCATGTATGAGTTGAAATGGACGATCGCGATGGTGATGACCTTGTAAGGCCCTTTTGTACACCACATCTCGTCAAGATCGTTCGATGCTTCTTGTGAGAAGATCTCTGCGTATGACTCAAAGTCTTCCTCTGGTGGCTCATCACCCTCGACATGGCCGTTCCATTCACAGAGAACCGGCGAGGGGTCGAGGTTCGACAGTGTCAGGCACGCCTCTGGTGAGAGGTAAGAGCCATCAGTGGGTCCATCCTTGTCAGGATTTTTGCCCTTGAGTGGGTCATATCCGATAATCTGCATGAACTCGTCTCTCGTCATCCTTTGGCCAGAATATGGGTGGACCCATTCTTTTGCCTCCTGGATGGTACTGTGGTACCCAAAGGTGAGGCGGCATACCGCACCGTGGCATGCCCACAGTCGCTTCTTGGGACCACCATTCTTAGGCTTCATTGTTCGATGACGGTAAAAGTGGTGGACGAGAGCGATGTCTGTTGTTGGGTCACCCTTGACTCCAATATACATCGAGGGTGCCTCAGGCTCCTTGGGAGGAGAATGGATTAGCATCCCCCTGTATTCATGTTGTCGCATGGTTGCGATCGAATACTCTGACGCAAGTGCTCCTGCCTCGAGTACGAGGGTAATATGAGCTGAATTGTTGAAGCACATGTCAATAAGAGGGTGATAATCGAATCCCTTCTCAGGTTTGAGCTTCTTTTTGGGATTCCCTGCGGGCACCGGCGCTCGATCCATATTTCCCCAGTTGAATACCACTAGGTTTAGCGATACGCTGTCTGGGTTTGAGCCTTCAATGTATTCTCTCTTCTCGTTAACACCGGCCATCCTATTGCGAACTATCTCGTAATGTGCGTCGAGCACCAGTTTGTCTTCGTAGCCAGTAAGAGAGAGAAAAGAAGCCGGGTGGCTTGTTCTAGAGTCCTTGATATTGATGTGACTCTTGTTAATGCTCTTGTATTCCTCCAGGGTTGGAGCCTCTGTGGAGCTGTCATACGTATTCGGAGGATTGTTCCTAATATCATCAAGGCTGCATGGATCAACGCCTGGATGGTCCTTCTCGAACAGATTTCTTGCGTGGTCGCAATACATGTTGATTTTCTGGACTGCCAAATCTACGTCCTCATGTGTGAGGATGGCCTCGTATAAAAACTGACGCTCTTCTGAGGTCATTCCTGCTGACACTTTAGAGGTCTCGAGGCAATCGATTGGCAAGACGCACTCGCACATCCGTTGTTTACCCTGTGGGGTAAGTCGACAGTCTGCACATACAATCGTTCCACAGGAATAGCAAAAATAGCCTGTAGGCTGTTTGCAGAGATCGCAGAGAGGATTGTCTGGTCGAGGCAACATCCGTATCCTTTGGTTAAGGCTCATGGCTGTCCTGCGTACTCCTACAAATCTCTCCTTGGTAGGAGGTG